GGCCATCCTTTCATGTCCCTACTTCTAAGCAAGCCAGAAACCAAAGAAATCTAGAATTTTTTTCTTCTTTTGTTATAAAAGGAAAATAAATATCCCCTCCTGAAAGCATCTGGACAGGATCTTTACTTTCTGACCAAACCCATGCCTTGTCACACAAGGCCTCACCTCCGATCTGTTGTGTGTCCTATACATATCTGCCCTCAAGAAGGCAGCAAGCTCTACCCAGGCCATGGCCCAAAGCAAGACCAAAGGCTCTTTTTGCGCACAGTTACAAAGGAGAAGAGCCAGAATGACTTGGAGTTGGGGTCCTATTCACAAAAGGAAGCCTACTATGAGGATGAGATTTGCTATTTAGAGACACAACCATCCCAGCAGACTGTTCTTAGTTCCTTGGGGCAGGAGAAACCAACCCAGGAAAGCAATTAAAGATGACAGCAGCTAGAGATGGGGATTTATATTCACCAACCTCTAATTCATTAATCTGACAAAATGCTAGGAAGGTATATCCACTCCTGCATTGCTCTTATAAAGCCACATCCAGAATAGAGAAGGAAAGGAACCTGAGAATACACACATATACACATATGAAATTCTACACAAGGGAGGCGGATTTTACTAGGTAGAAGATGGTGGAATGTGATGGACATCATTATCCAAAGTACATGTATGAAGACTCAAATTGGGTGTCAACATACTTTATATATAAACAGATATGAAAATTTGTGGTGTATATATATGTAATAAGAATTGTAATGCAAAAAATTTACATGTTTAAAGGCATGAATTGGCGTGAACATACTCTATACACAGATATGAAAAATTATGCTCTATATGTGTAATAAGAACTATATTGCATTCCGCTGTCTTGTATTTTAAAAAAATAAAATCAATAAAACTAAAAAAAAAAGTATGTTCACATAAAAAAAAAGACACATACCTGGTAACTTCTTGTATAGGAGTCAAAATGTTATCACAATTCCTATTTAAATGTATCCACTATCACAGGTTACAAAGAATTTACACAAGACCAGTTATTTCCATTTTACAAGGAGGAAAGCTGAGCTTTGAAGATGCATAAGATGCTACAGAAGCTGTGTATCTAATGCAGAACTTATGCAAGAAACTGGGTTTCTCAGATTCTACATCTTGTTTTAACATGAATAACAACAGATAGGGCTAGCTCAGGCAGAACCTCACTAAAGCACTTTTGATTACCATCCTGGGGCTAGAATGTTTACATAGAAATGAGAATTCCAGGTAGGGAATGGAGACGTTCCAGTATATCAATCATCAATTTGGCCCAATAGAATACAAAGTATCCATTTGGTATAGGGTTAGGAGAAGACTTTCTCTTGTTACTATGCTTTCCCATTATATTCTACATAACCAAAGATGCTACTAAATCTCAGCTCAGGATGAATCTGGACAAATCAGACAACTATCCTACAATGTGAAGGTACAGCACTCTGGGAAATCACCCATTCACCTATCAACTGTATGAGCACTGATTGAACAGTTTAATGTGACCCATATCTATGTCTTACCAAGACATGTCAGAATTTGAATAGATTCTACAGTGCTTCAGAGATGAAGTAGAAAATACAGCCTTTGATCATTTACAAAATGAATGATAGAATCATGACTCAATCTCAGGTCTGCCATTTCCTAATCTAGGTAGCTCTGTTTTCACAAGAGTATTCTACCCTCAACCAAAAACAATGTAAAAGAATGAAGATAATAATTCTATTTTTAGAGATTTAATGGAAAAGTGCTTTTATAACCTTCAACATACAATCCTTTGGGTATTATACAATATTACTTTAAATGTAAACCTAAAGATAAATACTTGTTCATGAGCATTGGAAGGTCTACCTTGGAATCAATACTCATTTCATTAATGCAACAGCCAATACCATTTCTTTTATGGTGACACCATAACAGCTGGCCTCTCAGGTTCCATGGTACTCTTCCTTAGCAATCTGAAGGCTGTTTGACTGCTTAAATCAAGCAAAAAGTTTCATGATGATAAAATAAATGCTATGAATATAATCTGAGGCAACATGGAATAATATTTTAGTTTATCAATAACACTGATATAGACCTCTGAATTATGATTTAGGTTATATCATTAATACTCCAGGTCTATAAACAGTATTCATTATAGACTTGGAATTGTGCTCTTGATATAGCAACTAGCCACATATGGTTACTGAGCACCTGAAATGTTGCTAGTGTGAATTGAGATGTGTTATAAGTATAAAATACATACCATATTCTAAAAATTTAGTAATTTATCATTAATGAATTTATAGTGGAAATATATCATATAATATTTTGAATATAATGGATTAAGGTAAATATATATGAAAATCAACTTCACTTTTAGCATTTTTAATTTTTTAATGTGATTACCAGAAAAATTTAAAATATGCTTGTAGCTTGCATTTGTGGCTCTTATTACATATAATATTCTCTTATAGAAATATAATGATCAATGCCTCTTAATTCTTTATGCACAGTAAAAGACATCTGGAAGCTTTTTAAAGTCTAATTTCTGGGTTTCAACTTTGAAGATTCTTATAGGACTAGCTTGTATTCTGGCTTTTAGTGGTTTCTTTCTTTGCTTGTTTATTTGTAGGTTTATTTATTTATTTATTTATTGCTATTTTGTTTTTAGACAGAGTTGAGAACCACTGGATTAGATGCTATATTGTGTACCAAGTGGCTGCTAGGAAAGTATGTCTGGAGGAACAATCCCATGGCCTTGGACTTAGGACTATCAATAATTGTTCACTGATATGCAGAAGCCTAACTGTCCTCTGCCTTCCAGAGCCATCCTGGTGTGCTCAGTCATTCCCCTCATCCCTTGATTTACAATTTATTATAAAAGTGATGTTTTCCTCAAAGTAAAATGCATTCGGGTTTGGGTGTGGTTTAATCCTTCTTTTAAACAGAGAGGACTGTCAGCACAAGAGACACAAACTGTCCTGAAGGCTAGGTTACTGATATGATCTTTCTGACTATCCCCAGAATTGATTAATTAACTAGCAAAGGTAAGCTGGGACACAGATGGCATTTTAAGATGCTGAAGGAAAATGCCACGTAAGCAGAGAAGAAAGGATTGGATATTTTATTAGGAGACTTCATGGCAGAAGGGGATGCAACTTCATTTTGTCTGCTTCCCTGCTTCTGGGCAGTGTCTTCACCTAAATCATCACAGTTTACATTCCTCCAAGGAAGGAGGTCTCTCTCAATCCCTAGAGCCAGCCTTGAAGCATGGCACTTCTTAGACCTACTAAGATGATATGATGATGATGATGATGATGATAAGTTATCATATGCCAAGTATCTAACATGTCAACACTGTGCTAGATATCTCACTTGCATATTTAACCTCATTAAATCCTAATAAGAAAAGTGTGCTATCCTTATTTTTTCAAATGAGGAAATAAAAATTTAGGAAAGTTAAAAATTTTGTCAAGAGTCATAGTGTTAGGAAGTATTAAAGCTGTATCTCAGTTTATCTGATCCAAAGGCCTTGCTCCTTCCTTCATATCACACTGTTATAATGTCAAACTTGAGACCAATCAGTCTCTAAGAACTAAAGCCCCTCTAACCTTTCATTTGGGGTCTGGAAGACTTATCCATATCTTATAGGAGAAAACAACAAAAAAATGATAGGCTGTAATATGGATGGTCATAATATACCTTCATATCCCTTTGCTATTTGTCTTTCCATGAAACAATTTTCATGTTCTATCTCATTCACTATGACATCCTCTGGCACTAAAGAATTGTTAACACCATTTTGTAGATGAGGAAAAACAAATTCCAGCTCATGACCTCAAGGAAGGCCAGGAACTGGGGTCCATGGTCAGTTCTCCCCTCACAGTATTCTGCGAATTTGTGACCCAGAGGAAGTGGAAACTGATGGAAGCTTCATTCCAACAGTGACTATTTGTGGCCAGGTTCTTCATGGCACAATGTCAGAGGCCAAGGCCTTGTAAGCACCTGTAGGATGCCTGCTTCCAGGCCCAGCACATCTTAGATCCTAGATATTTGACTTCCTTGCAAAAAGTAAGATCTGCAATCTATAAAGTCTAGATCCTGGGAGAGGAGATTACATATTTTTACACAAACCACTGAAGATATCCTCTGATAATATGCAGAGGTGTTCATACTTCCCTGGATGAGAGAAACAAGGCAAGGGAAGCATAGAGAAAGTAGAGGAAGGGAACAGATATGAAGAGAAATAGAAGAAAAGCAAATAGAAGAGAGGAAAGGAGCCAGGCTTGATGGCGCATGCCCGGAATCCCAGAGGTCCAGGAGGCTGAGACAGGAGGATCACGAGTTCAAAGCCAGCCTCAGCTAAGGCGAGGCACTAAGCAACTCAGTGAGACTCTGGCTCTAAAAAAAAATACAAAATAGGGTTGGAGATGTGGCTCAGTGGTTGAGTGCTACCGAGTTAAATCCCTGGTACCCCCCCAAAAAAAAAAAAAATAGGGCTAGAGATGTGGCTCAGTGGTTGAGTGCCCCTGAGTTCAATCCCTGGTACCAGAAATAAATAAATAAAGAGAGACAGAGACAGAGAGAGAAAAGGAGGAGATGGGAAAGGACTATAAAAAAGAAAGGACACAGAGAAGAAAGCAGAAAAAGAATAGAGATAAGAAAGGTGAAAGTTCACAGAAATTTAGGGTTAAAAGGGTCTTCAAAATCATCCAGGCCAACCCCAGATGTGGGAAGTGATTTGTAAACATGTGTGGGGAGGGGAGTAAGGGTTGTTCATATAAACAAGAGACAAAGAAAATATCTAAAAATTAGAAAAACAAAGATTAAAGAAGATTAACCCAGGTCCAAGATAGGGACAAAAAAAGAAAAAGAAAAAGAAAAGAGAATATGAGAAAAGTCACCAAGGGGAGCAGAACAGGGGCTAGTGAAGGAGAAGCCAGGGATAGGTAGCCAAGGAGAAAGGAGAGGAGAGTGAAGGCTGACACACTCACCCTCACAAAGCTGGCAGGAAACCATCCCTCCTCATCGTCGATCTGGCCCCACCACCAATCCTTGTTGGAAGCATCCAAGACTTTGATGACGTCGCCAGCCTTAAATGCCAACTCCCGGTTGGCCATGGTGACGTGATCCCATACTGCCTCAGCACTAACGATGGAATCTCCAGTGATCAGCTTAGGAGACAAAATGAGAATGTGTTCAGTCCATGCAGCTGCCTACCTTGATTGGCCCTCCCCCCACCCACAAAGCTTTACTACTTATAGGAAAACTTACATACTTAGCGATGAGGGATAGGGTAAGGGGAACAGCACTAGAGTGTAAGCTTTGCGGGGCTCCAAGATAGACAATGCTGTCAACTCTTGATTATCCAGTACATGGAATGATCCAGTGTGTAAATGTGAACTATATGGGTATCATGCTTTTATCTCTACTCAAGAATACTTCCCCCAGAAAAGAAAGCAAGCTCCAGTTCAACTATCCTTTGTGTTTCCAGCATCCCTGGGTCTGGAATGGGTAAAGAGGCTGATATTAATAGCTAAAATGAGGATTAAGCATATTTGCTTTCAATTCTGTGTGTTCCTTCTCTTTTCCGCCTCCTCCTTGGAACTGACCAATTGACAGTTGGTAGTATATTATTAATCCTTATTTTGCCTCTCCCCCTGGGGTAACAGACTATGACATTCCTCACACACAATGGACCCCAGTCCTACAGCCTCCTGCCCTCACCCACACAAGATACCATCCAGAGAGGTCATGGGTATGAAAGAATATGGCTTTATGTGATGTCTTGTACCCAAGAAATTAAATGTTGGCTCAGATTCAGTCAGTGATTATTACAACCACCCTGTGAGATACAGTGGGGATCTGGGTTAACTTCTGCATCTAATAGATTGCACAACTGAGCAACAAAGAAGTTTAGGGTTGAGGTAAATATCATCCAGCAAGGTAAAGGCTGTGCATGGATTCTAACCTAGGTCATCAGGTTTCATGGACAGCAGAAAACACAACAGCAGGAAAACATTGATCCTACTGCCACATGAAAATACACATACATGCACATTCATGACACTTAACTAAATACAATGATAAGGATGGAGGTGGGTAATAGTTTTCTTCCCCCTGGCTACCATTCTGACCACTGCTATTTTGTTCTCTTTTTCACTCCAACTGTTTCAGCTTGTATGGGCCTTCAGTCTTCCCAGCATTTGGGGAATGACATCCTAGAATAGAGAACATATGGCCTGTCAGGCAGAGACTGGAGCACTCTCCCCAACATTGAATCACTGAACATGTCCTTTAGAAGTCAGCTTTTCCATCAGCTTTTTTTGAGGAAGGACTACCATGACAGCTCCATAACACTAAAAATAAAAGAGTTCAAAGACAATAGAGACTATCTGTGGACTATGTATCCCCTCCCACAGGTCTGATATACAATATACTACCCAAAATATAACCATATAGCCATATAATGTATTATAACACATCACATACACACACACAGAACCTACCTTTTGACTTAAAGTTTACTGTTCATCAAGCCCTGCCTTAAGGCATATTTCATTGCTCAGGATTCTAGACTTCATGCCCTCCACAGACAGTAAAGCACAGGTAAACCTCCTCAGAATAGATGCAAAAGAAATTCCCAGCAGGACTTTTTTTTTAATCATACTTCAATTACCTTGTGCTTTACTGCTTTAAAATATTTTCACATCTACTACATCATTTGATCCGTACTAAGCTGGGTTTCACTATCACCTACATTGTAAAGATGAAGAACCTGAGGCTCAGAGAAGAGACTTGGTCCTTTAGACAATAACATAAGAAATAAATTATAGAGTCAGGTTTTCCGACCTCATGTGCTCTTACATATACCAAACTATGCTCCCAGTGTCTACTTATTGGCTATACTGATTGTATAAAACTTGAAGCATCATACCATAAAACAGATGACTCCTTTGCTTAAAGAACCTTGAAGAAGGATTTTTAGATGGCTACCTTTAGTCACTGTTGTCCCTGTGTGTGAATAGATTCATTTTTATGTTGAACTTGCTTTCTTCCAATTGCACTAAAAAAATCAATCTCTCCTTGTTCTCCACTCAGTGGAAAAAGAGAAATTCTAGTTGTTGGCCTTAATAAAATAAATCTTAATGGAAAACTTTCCTTCCTCCTACCTAAAATAGATCCTAACTGGAAGTTGCTGAAGCTCAACAAGCACATATGGCCCTAACTTAGAGGAGCATTTGGGTTCATGGTTTAAAGCTATATCCAGGGATTTTGGTCAAGTGTCAAAATATCTTGGCATTAAATATGAACTTTCTGCTCCAGACACTATTTGTGATGCTGTTTTAGATACCCTAGGTCCAGTTATAGCTAATTTCACTGCATATACTCTTTACTTTGCAATCTTCTATTTAGGGACTCCATAATAGCTTCTACCAGCAGTATATGAATCACACTGCCTCACCTCCTGCCAATTTAGTCCAGTTGACATGCCTTGGCCCCCAGGTCATAAGACTCAGATACACCCTGGACATGGCCAATCCAGGATCCAGTGGTCAGGCTCAAGGAAGTCCTTTGAGGAAACACTATTAAAGGTTTAACATTCCTAATACACAAAGTTAAAATCAGAAATACTATAAAATCCAAAACTTAAATTTTATATTTTGTATTTTTGGATTAGGGATACTCAACAAGGTTGTCTATGCAAATACTCCAAAATCTGAAAAACTCTGAAATCCGAAATATTTCTGGTCTCTAGCATTTTAGATAATACACAATCTATATTTTCCCTATCTTATAAATGAGAAAACTGAAGGTCTCAGAGAGCTTAACTAATCTGCCCAAGTTCACACAACTCATTAATAGCAAAGAAAACAAATGCAGGCATAGTCTGACTCTAGAGACACTGCTTTTAACTTATAAACTATGCAGTGTCTGGGTCTCAGATTTTATACCTATAAAATGAGCTATAAATGCCTGGAAAGTTGTAAAACACTAAACCAAGAACTGGCAGGTGGGTGTCCAGAGTTGTGAGATGGACTAATCCACAAGAAGCTAGAAGCTGCATGGGTGTTATGGTTTGGTTGTGAGTTATCCCCTCAAAAGCTCATGGGTTATATGATATAGCAATATTCAAAGGTGAAACTATTAGTTTATGAGAGCTGATAACCTAATCAGTGGATTAACCCATTTGATGGATTAATAATTTGAAAAGACTACTGTACTAGATGGTAACAGTAGGCAGATGGGACATGGCTGGAGGAAGTGGGTCACTGGGGACATGCCCTTGGGGATTATATCTTGTCTCTTTGGCTCAAAGCTCCCTTTTTATGCTTCCCAGCTGCCATGAGCTGAGCAACATTCCTCTGCTATGCCCTTCTGCCATGGTATTCTGCTTCAACTCAGGCCCAGAGCAATGGAGTTGACCAACAATGGACTGAACCTCTGAAACTATGAGCCAAAACAAACTTCCTCCTCTAACTTGTTGTCAGGTAATTTGGTTATATCAACATAAAGGTATCCATCGCAATGTGGTTCCTGTGCTCTTCCATCACAAATACCACCAGCAGCAAGGGGATGCTTGTCTCCAATCCTGTGCACTATTTTTTTGTTTTGTTTTGTTTTGGGTACTGGGAATTGAACTCAGGAGCACTCGAACACTGAGCCACATCCCCAGCCCTATTTTGTATTTTATTTAGAGACAGGGTCTCACTGAGTTGCTTAGTGCCTCACTTTTGCCGAGGCTGGCTTCGAATCCATAATCCTCCTGCCTCAGCCTCCAGAGTCTCTGGGATTATAGGCATGTGCCACCACACCTGGCTGCACTATTTTTAAAAAGTAAATTAAATCTGGACTGGAAATTGGTTCCAAGTGTTCCTCTTATGTACCAAACTGAAATTTAACTTACTACAAGATTTTCATACATTTTCACTTGGCTCATTCATTTCCCATTGCACATTTATCCAGTGAGCTCCTACTGTGTGCTGCTAGGCACCATTTAAATTATCTGCAAAGATGGTTAAGGGTAAGCGAACCCAACTTCAATTCTGGGCTTTTCTGCTTTAAAACGTAGCAATAACAATAGGAGGTGAGGAATAAAAGAGTAAAAGGGACAATCCAAAATGAAGCTGTCAGTATGTAACAAGGAGTGCAATTATACAAAAATGAATGAGAATTTCAAACATTTCAACCTTGCACCTCAGTTTCTTCATCTCAAAAATTGGAACGATGTTTGCCTCACAGGCAGGGATATAGATAAAGTGGGCCGAGATGCTGGGTATACAGCACCTACTACAGTATCTGGCATGTGCTGGGCTAGTACATGACTTCAGAGGAAAGAGGGAACACACATAGCAATTGGGCTCTAAGAAAGATGTTTTAAAATTTTTTTTAGGTATAGATGGATCTTTATTTTATTTATTTATATGTGGTGCTAAGAATTTAACCCAGTCCCTCACACATGCTAGGCAAGTGCTCTACCACTGAGTTACAACCCCAGCACTCTAAGGAAGCCCTCTAAGATAACACTTAAAGATCAAATGGGTCTGTGAAAGATATAAAGGGAACGGTAGTGTGTTTGAGGTAGAAGAATGGCATTACAAGAGTTTCAGAGATGAAGAATATGGAGTACTTGATAGTGTAGTAGCAGTAGAGTTTAGAGAAGGTAGGTTTGAGAAGGGAAATTAGAGAGAGGCACAGCTTCAAAGGTTGGCTATATTCATGTGTGAAGGGCACTGAATCAAGTTTGAAGACAAGGAGGAGGTTAAAGACAGAGGAGGTTATGAGGAGGGGGAATCAATCATAATTGTGGCCATTAATAGCACAAGGGTATATTAGAAGAAAATGATGATTTTGAAGAAGAGATTGCAAATTTGTTCTTTAAAGTGTTAAGTAAAAGAGGTCAGAAGGACATGAAGGTAGGTTTGAAGCTCAAGAGAGATCAGTGGAGACAGATATAAAGTTTTGGGAATCAGTGGCCCAAAAGAAACCAAGGCATTTTGCCCTAGAAGAAAGGCCAGAAACCCAGAGAAATAGTGAAAATGGGAGGTGAGAAACAGAAAAACTGGAGGGAAAATATAAAACCTAAATGGAGCTGTCAGCATACCATTAGGATACCAAGGACTGCAATCTCACAAAAACCAAAGGTAGGAGTTTCAAGCAGCAGAGGCTTATT